GACTTTAAAACCTTAGAAAGCAACCTGGCAAAGTAGCCAAGTTCAACAGCACAGAACAACATCTGATTTGTAGCTAGGAGGGCTTGCTCAAGATACTGCATCTGAAAGGAAAAGGTCTCACTGAGCCTCACAAACAGAAACCTTTTAATGGACATGTGCCTCTGGTGTCTTTTTCCTGGATTCCTGTAGAAAGCCCTGGGTTAACATGAAGCCTAAATGAGTACAAAGCCTAACAGGGTAGGAGGATGAGGATGGGAATGAAAAAGGAGCTCCAAACCCAAAAGGCAGGCAGGAATGTTTTAACTGGCACTGCGACTGAGCGAACGATGCACAGATCCATATGCAACACATTTGGAATAAATTTGGGGTTTCTTACTCGGACAACTTTTTTCTAAACATCAAGGCAATGCCTAAAGAGCCCAGGAGGCTCCATGTGCTGGGAGTGCTGCACATCTCACACAGCAGCATATCAGGAGGTGATTTATCATAAATCATCTGCAGCAAGTGATGAAATACTTCATCTCCAATTGAACTCTCACCCTGCTCACAGACTGCAGAGGGAATGAAGCCCAAAGAACCCCTCACCTCCAGCTTCATCCAGACCAGCTCCAGCGGCCTTTGACAGATGTATCACTTTTCATTCACAAATTAAATAGGCACAAAGGAGTCTGGAAGCTTGGGGGATTTTGCACAGATAACCTGGAAAAATACAAGTAATCCAGAGGCAAGGCTGGCTGTGTCTGAATTCCAGTGGCTTGGAATAGCAGGTTTCTAGGATGGTACTTCTATCCTCAAAGCACACAAGGTGGGTATAAATAAAGACATAAATGTGCAGTACTGTGAGAAGTGGACAGCAAGAGAATCTTGTATCAACAGCTCCAAAGTCCACTGGGCAAAAACCCCCAGGAAAATCTGACCTCAACAGCCAGACCAGCTGAACCACAAACTCAAACTCCTCCTTGCTGGGACCCAGTTTAAAGCACGAAGGTGAGAGATGGCAGATCCCTTCACAGGTCTCTAGAGCACAGAGAGAATCCCACCTGTGCCTGAAGCTGGTGTTAGTCCTAAGAGATCTGGGTGATTAAATCACTCCAGGACTGGCTGCACCCAAAGCCTGGCTCCAACAACCCAGTGTCCCTGCAGAGCTGAGCAGAGCTCCAGCTCCAGCTGCTTTCAAAACACACTGAACTTCTCCAGCAACAGCCTGACTTTGTCTGCAGTTGAGAGTCAGCCAGGCTGAAAAACTCAATATGTATCACCAGGTTCTGTTTCACCCACCTTTAAATGTTACTTCAACATAAATCAACCTCACACAAGCAGAGGCTGGATCTGCCCTGGTTACAGAAGGTGCCCACATATGAACATGTCCCTAAGTGTTTGGTCCCAGGTTTTTTACTCTTTAATTTAATCTGATTTAATTTTCTATTCCTTTGCCATCTTTCGTTCTGAGCTACTTTAAGATTCACTTAATATTTGCATTTATTTCAATAATTATTACCAAACAAGAAAAAAAAACATTGTTTTTCACTATTTGTGTCTAGAAGTAATGAATAATTAATGCTTGAGAAGAGTGCAGATTGTGTGTATAGCTTAAATGACAGATATTATCAATATCTAATCAAAACATATTTGTAACATATGTAAGATGAAAGCTGATTTTCCAGAAGTTTCACATTATGTTTTGGATGCATATTGAGAATAAATGTACATTTCAGGACAAAGTTAAAGTTATTATGACATTATAGAAGCCATTTCTCACAATTAATCGACCCACACAAGATCCTTCATAAGCATAGCACTAAATTTGCAAAACACAAAAGCACACAGAATTATTAGGGGGCAGAAGTACAAAGTTGTCAGGTCAACCTAAACTTCACATGGTTATGAAACAGTTGTTTCCACTCAGAGCCTCCTTAGGGCCCCTGTTTTAAGCACACAACAGACATTTTGATACAAAAACATGCAGGACGACATTTCGGGGGGTCAGGAACACTTCTGAGAGCCCCAGCAACATCCCCCATCAGTCACTCAGGATGAGACAGCCCAGGGGGAACATGGAATCAGGGAATAGTCTGACTCAAGGCTCCACCATCCAACACATACCAGGGTGGTCCAAACCCACTCCTCAACCCTGCAAACTGCAAACCCTCTGCTCCCAGATCCAGGGGCTGGATCACACATTTGACATCAGCCTGAGCAATTCCACTTGTCAGTGTGGCAGAAAACAAGCCTAACAATTTATACCTCGTATACAAGCACCACAGGCAGTACAAAGGAAGATTTGGAACCGTGCAGTAGGAAGTAGAGGCATGGAGGAGACAGAAGTGGGAAGCAGGACTGCTCTTTCTGACTCATCACACCAAGTAATCCCTTTGAGAAGGGACACTCAGCAGAGGAGGGACAAAAGACAAGAGGTTCCTTTGTATCAAACCCTGGTCCTGATCTCTGGTCCCAAAATTATTCATCAGCTTTATCCAACGGTCTTAAAATAAAACACATGAGCAGAACTTGGAGCAGAGCCCTGCACTACTCAAACTTGATTCTGAACACAGAAGGACTACATTTCTTTGTAGTCTTTTCCAGGGTACTTTCACCAAATATTCTGCAAGCATTGCCTGAATTTCCTTTGTCCAATCAGCCATCCTGGACAGGTGGTAGACCAAGGGCACAGGGAGGGGAAGGTCAGAAACAGCCACCACTGACTTCTTCAAGGACTTTGCATAAGACATTTGAGTCAAAAGGCAGCACCCTTCACCTTCCCAACCCCCCAACACTCAGCCTTTGTGCAGATCAGCTCAGAGCATCCCAACAGCCCCATCCCCCCCTTCTTCACCACTCACTGCTTGCAGTTTCCCCTATTGCCCTCACACCTCCCAGTGCACCCAGGATCCTTATTGCCCTCTTAGCTACAGACAAAAATACAGGCAGACACCTGGGGGTTTGCTGGCCTCTAACACACAACTGCACTGTCCTCACTGAACTGCGTATTTCAAACCCAACACACTCAAAAATCAGTTTAAGGCAGGCACATGGAACAGGAAATTTCAAACCAGACAGCTGGGAGGTTTTGAGATAAGCAAGGGAAAAGTGGATCTCAGGGTGGGAAGTGCTGGCCTCTCTCAGAGCAGGCAATGCTTCCTGGCTGCCCCAAGGCAGCCCCGTGCCCTCATTATGGGCTCTGTAAAACTGATAGACAGGATTCATTTCCTACTTTCTAAATATTTGGGGTTTGAAGATGAAGAGGCAACCAACCCTATTGTTCTCTGTGGAGAATCATAATTGGGTTTATGATAAAGGGCAAGTTTGCTGCTGATATAAGTCAGGCCAGATTTAACACAGCCAGGCCAGCTGAGCCAGAGCACAGCCCGCTCCAAAGGGGCTCTCCTGCTCCTTTGTCATGGCTTAGGATTTGAGGGATAATTAAATCTGTCACAACCTTCCAAAAGGAAAGCTGTGCTGTGTGTTCATGGTGTTAGAGCTGTGGGCTTTCTGCATGTGCACAACTATTTGATAACAGTTTTATGGGCCTTAAGAAAACACAACAAATACTTTGTAGGTTATTCATCCAGGCACACGTGTGCAACACTGAATGAGACTCCACACTGAGCTCCAGCCACAGCCAGGCTTATCCAGGAGCATGGATGCATTCCCTAGATGCTACACCTGCAGAGGGCCTTGTACCCACACCTGTGCTAGAAACGACAGCAAACCTACAGCAGGACTGGGAGCAAACACACACAGCCAGGTGGGAGCAGGGAACAGAACCTGTCCAGGGACCAGGCTGCTGAGCCATTGACAGTCTAAGTGCATCCAGTTTTCAAGTGTTAAAGAAAATCTGCCACAAAGTCAGTCACAGTTTACCAAACACATTTTTGTTCAAAGTTCACAAGTTAGAAAATTTTGTAAATTAATGTACAAGGCAAGAATAGCTATTTCAAGAGATCACACCAGAGCTTTTGGAGCTGTTTAGTTCTACACTCCCTGAGAAAAAAAGACTCTTTCCCTTGCTGGAAATATCAGACAAGGTTATGCCCACTATTTCCCGTGAGCAAAGTTGCCCAGAGCAACAACAGAAACACTGGTTTAGCCTCATCTATAAAGATCTCAGCACTCTCATTTAGGGTCAGACACACCCTACCCATCCCCTTTCAGAACTGTACCAAATACCTGTATTTGGGGGAAAGTGGACAGTTTTCAAAACATGCACATTGTGCTCCAGCTGGAAGGAGCTGTGAAAGTTCACTGATATTCTGGGCACTCTTTCAGTGCCTGTGTGGAAGGTGCATTTTGGAAACTTTGGACAGTCCTCTCTACACTTAATGAATGCTTGGAATAATGGCAACAAGTTCTCTTGAAATCTGGCACTTGTTACCAAATGAAAACACTGAGTGCTGGACAGCCAGCCTTGGCTTCCCTCTAAAGACCCTTTTTCCTGGGAAAACCTACTCCTCATTTGAGAGATACAAGCCATGCAGACTCCACCATGACTCCATGGTGGACAGGGAAAAGAAAATTAAACCTTCCTAGATTTGCCCTTTGTGCCATGGAGGATCTCCCTCTTTAGGAACTAGTGATGAGGAGGACAAGCCTGCTCCAAGATGGGAAAGGGAGAGATGGAACACTCAGATCTCCCTGAACCGGTGAGAGGCAGCCCAATCAATACCTGATCCCAGAAGTAAAGTACTTATTAAAGTAATTATTACTACCCTCTACTATATAGAACCCAATTACACCACAGCCAGCCTACAGGAGCACCAGCAGGAAAGGCTCAAGCTCAAAGGTGAAACTGCCCATCAAGGCCTATTTTGTTTGCTATGGGGCTTTAGTTTCCTTTTTTTGTTTGTATTTCAGTAAATGCTACATTTCTGCCAGGTTGAACACATCATTCCACACTGCAGCATCCAAAGTACAATGAATCACTTAGCCAAATGTATTTTTTTTCCCCATACTTCCCCATGTTTGTTTTACTCACTGTCCCCTCAGAAGTTCGGTTCTCTTACCTTAATCACCTCTGGGGCCTGCTGAATTGAGGCTGGAACAGAGTCTCTGCAGGCAGCCCCAGCATGGCTTTTTTTCCCTGCAAGGAGGGACTGTGAAGGAGTTGCTAAAGTTTCCTGAAGAATCTGCATCACTTCCTTCTCCTTGGACAAGCTCCCCTTGCCTGTCTGGTATTCCACCAGCTCCTGGGCAAAGTCCTCAATGCTTCCCAGGATCCGCAGTAAAAAGGCTTTGTCGTCCTCTTCCATTTTGTGACCATTGGTTTCCATGATTTTTGACAGAGAAGAAGGGGGGTCAGCAGGTTTACTTTTGGCCTCCAGAGCCAGAGGTGGAACCTGCCTCCCCTGCCTGCCCAACACCTGCACGCCCGCAGGCTCGCCCTGCTTCCGAGGGGGTTCCCTCAAAGTGCTCTCCATTTTCTGGGAGAAGCACTCCAAGTCCAGCAGCAGTTTGTCTATCTCCTCCTTGTCCACCCTACTGCACGTCTGGGCTCCTTTGGGGACACCAGCCTGGGCCCCGTGCAGCACGGAATCCAAGGGTGGTGTTAAAGGAGTCGTGTCCTCGGGAGCGGGGCAGAGCTCGGCATCTCCCACCTGGGCACGCTCTGCTTGAGCATCAGCAGGTCCATCTGAACCAGCAGCTCGCTGGGAGCTGTGCTCCATACTCTGCCAGCCCCCTCTGTGCTCTGCCCTCTGCCCTTTCCCTGCTGTTCTGTCCCCATCAGCCTCCTCCTCGATGTACAGCACCTCGCTGTCAGGGGGGCTCGGGGCCGCTGGCTGAGGTAGAGCCTCTGTCCCAGCTCTCACACTGCTCTGGGGGGCACTGGGAGGGGAGGTGGGGGTAAAGGCCACAGTACCTGTGGGGAGGGACTGAGAGGTGCTTGTCGGCTCCCCCTGATCTCCTGGCAGAGCCAGAGGGCCTGCACTGGAGGATGGCAGCTGGATAATGTCCTCATAGCGGGGTGGTTGCTCATCCCCGAACACCGGGGCGAAGGGGCTCTGCTGCAAGCCATGGAAGCAGCTCACCAGCTCTGCCCAGTCACTCGCCTCCCTCTGCCCTGGGGGCTTCACCTCCAAGGGCAGCTTCTTCAGGTAGGAAGAAAACCTGGTCATCAGGTTCATGTATATCATTTCTGAACTGGGCAGGGGGTCGCTGCTGTTCCCCCCACCCACGCTGTCTGCAGACTTCCTTTTGATGCAATGTTTTATTATGTCCGTGCACTTCTTCAGATCCTCTGAGCACTTGAGCAAGATGTCCAAGCACACCTTGATATCCCCACCAGAAGAACCATCTAGCTTGTGTTTTTCCAAAATCTGGGTAATGAAGTTTTCTTCGGAGAAGGCATGAGGGCAGAAGGGAGTCACGGGGCTCACGGTGACTTCTGGAGCATCACTGCCCTCCTGCCACTTCTCCACAGGGGAGGGGCTCTGCAAAAAGCCACATGGAGGGCAGTTCTCATCATTGTTGAGGTGCCCATAAATCAAGTCAAAGTCAAAGGATCGTCTGCTGAAGGATTCTGACCGAACCTTCCTTCCCTTTCTGTAGGCCACATGACTGGAGGAGTTTTTGAGCTTTTCAAAGGAGAACTCCTTTATTTTACCACTGGCAAGGTTTATTGCCTCACCAGTAATGTCCTTTAAACTGCTGGAGGCTTGCACTGAAGAGCCCTTTTTGATCCTTGGGTTATTTGGGAGGATTTGGTGATAGTCCTCATTTCCAGACAAGGCGAGTCCGTTTTCAGGAAGAGGAATTTTATGGTCCAGGTTGGCATCTTGGACACTGAGCTCTGCACAGACACTGTGGTGGGCGACTATGCAGGTCACCCCGTGCCTGAACACCTGGCAGGTGCCTGTGCAGTGGTGCACAGTGTGCTGGGAGTGCTGGTCTATCACCACACTGCTGTAGCAGTTCACAGAGCTCACCAGCAGCCTGTAGGTCGCTGCCATGGCACAGACCACGCTGGGAAGCGAGGCTTCAAAACTCACCATGAACTTCCCAGGGAAAAGATCACCCCCAGCTCTCACAGCCACACCAGGCTGGATGAAAACATTCAAATGTCAATTGGGAACATCCAAACTACGTGAGGAGCTCCTGCCTGGAGAAGTCTGGAGAGGCTTTGGAGGTACAGTTACGACACTTGGGGTAACTTACATATGGTTTGGCTTAAGGCAACTTGATCCTTGTACTCCAAGCAGAAAGCCTTGCTCAGCAGAGGTGCAGCATCAGCTGCTCCATTTCCAAGGGTCCAGGTGCCCTCTCCAGCAGGTGCCATAAAATCCAGCCAGTTCTCAGGCACAAGTGACAAGTCAGTGGTTTTTGTTCGACCCCTCTTCTCTCTTTTCGGGTGGGTCAGTAAAAGGCAGACAATCAAGCAGCAGGTACAGACAAAAAATCCACGTGTGCCTTTGAGAGTCCCCTCTCACACTGGCAGTGCAGGTCCCTGCAACAGAAACAAAGGTGAGAGTCATTATCATTGCCATGGATTCTGCAGCCTTGTCTGCTCCCAAACGTGTGGCACAGAGCACACCACCAACACCCGCTGCACAGAGGGAGAGCAGGCTGATGTTCTTCCCTCCCTCACATCTCCCATATAAGAGCAGTGCTGAGGAGCTGGCCTATATTTATACACAGCCTGTCTATGTGCTGCCATTTTAACAGCTCTATTTTAACCACTCACTAATTTTTTTCAGGCTTGTTTTTTTCCCCTCCCCAGACCGAGCCAAACACTACCTTTAATTCTAACAGAGCAAAACATTTTGATCCTGTTGTGAATTTCTGATTCTAAAGATAAGGCGCAGGGCAGTAGAGAAAAGCACTTTCAGGATTTCCAAGCTCTCTGGATTATAAAAAGCTGCAAACAGCCTGCAGCAAAGTAGCTGAATGGCTCTAAGAATGCAGGGCCTTTAGGAAAGGCCACCCTGGCTTCCATTAGCCTTTCACCAAGGTCTCTGGGACCATGGCAAAATGTTTTAAGGAGGAATAACTGTTTCCCTTCCTCTTAGAACCCATAAATAGCAGCACAGTTAATACAATAAGTCCACTGGAGTAGACATCAAGGATAGTAACATTTGTATAAAGGTTAAGCCTATGAAAACTAGGAATTGAATGTTTCACACTTAGCACAGCCATTTCCAGCTGCATTTCCTACCATCAGTCAGAACTGCACCAGAAAGAAAAAGCTGTCTAACTTTGATGAAAAGATATGAAATCTCAGATTTAAGGGTCTTGAAATTTAGACATAGATTCATCTTTCTTTAATGCTTCAAATTAAAACACCCCAACGAAATTCTGAGCACCCTCTATTCCTGAGCAAACAGAAATCTATTTCATAAACCATGATTATATCCCAGCTAAGCCACACCACAGCATGGGTTTATTTTGATTTTTTCAAAGGTAAATACTTCCCTGTGTGAAAGGCCAGCCCTGCACCTGATGAAAGCACTGCCCTCCCTGCAGTTCCATCCCACCTCCTTTAGCTGTAAGCCTGTACAAACACACCACACAGAAGGGAAGTGCCTGAAGAGCTTGGGGCTGTTCTAATTAACAACTGGCCACAGCACAAGTCTAAACGTTCACATTGTAAAGCCTTAACCTGAAACTGAGAGGCACAGACTGAAGAGTGTTTGATGGGTTTGTGATGTGCCCTGTCTGCTCAATGCCACGCTGTCCAACGGCCCAGGCAAAGGCAAGGACATTTTGGGTGATATAAAGCACTGAAGCAGTTGATTCAGGATGCAGTAACTGCTCCCAGTGCCCTGCTGGGATCTGAACACGCTGCCACCTGCCCACCGAACACCGCGGGTGCTGCTCCTCAGCTCCTCCTGTTCTGTCCTGCTCCCTCTCCACCCCCTGGCACTGCCCCAGAGCCCCCTGGCAGGGGAGGGCCTCCCCAGGGCTGAGCAGAGCTATGAGGTGTATGAGGTGTGCAAGGTGTGCCCCAGCCACAGCCCTCACTCAGGTGCCAGGGGATGATAAAGGGCAGCAGCACAACCGTTTTCAGCCCCCGGGGTGCTCACACCACCCACACAAACCCAGGGAGAGACTCCACACCCTCCAGTCACTGCTCTCAGGCTTCACCACCACGTGTGCTAAACCCTCTGCTGAACCAGAGCCACAGTTTAAAACAGCACTGTTGGCTCCCCAATGCCTTAATGGGCTTTGTTCAGACAGGAAAACCTGTGCTCCAGGTCTCCAAAAAGCACAACGATCCCCAGATTCCCTCTAACACATCCAAGGTAAGAGGTCTGCTGCTTTTTCTTTTCTGAGCATCCATCAACTGCAAACAAGCCTTCTGCATTCCCTGAAATAAATGTTAAATAATATTTAGAGAAAGTAGAGGCCTTCAGGACAGTAGGTTTGATGAAGAATTAATATTGCTTCCAAAAAACCATGGGACCTCCTCAGGGCTCCTTCCTCCTCTGTGTCATGCAGACAGACTGGTCTTCCTTTTACCAACAAAGAATAGTTTGGGTTTATACCTAATTTGGGTAATAATTACACCTCGATTAAGTTATTCTTAGAGTAAAAATGTATCAGATTCACTGTCTCCCTCTCCTGTATCACTCCAAGGGTAATCTCCCTACACACCCACCCCTTCCACTGGGACTAAGCCAGTTTCTCCAATCCTTTAAGCCACCTTCAAACACTGAAGCTTTTTGCACCTGTACAATTATTCCACAAGTCCTTCAATGAAAAGGTCTCCTAGATTCCCCTTTTTTTTCAGTTGAAATTTGTATTCCCAACTATGCCCAACAAGAACACTCTTCCCACCATCTCCACTTCCTATCTCCCAAATAATTTCAGGTGTTTATGCAATGCTTGCTGCACTCTAATCCCTTTCCATTTTGCCTGTGTTCCTCTGGTACAATCACAAACCAGCATAATCCAAACACCAACTTGCCAAGGCCAACACAGGATCGCTCCCTCCTGCCTCTGTTGTCGGCACCTTTTACTGCTGTGTCAGAGAATAATCAAACAATCAGAAGCAAAACCCCAACATCCTCTTTTCAGCCAGTTTTACTGCTGTCTCCTCAGTGGTTATTTACTAATTGCTTTATTATCACTGTCTGCAGAGACATGCTCAGGTTCTTCCAGGGCTGGAGTAGCACAAATCCTTACAGGTAGCACAGGCCCAGCTCGCAGCTTTATTTGAGAGGGATCCATTGAACATGATCCAGCACGTAAACCTAGTGAGGACAAAACCTAAGAGGATCCCTGTTCCCAGATCTGGGAACCTGGCCTCAAGCTGAGCTTGACTGGGCTTTTGTTGGGACTTTTGGTGGGTGGCTAAAACCTACTATTTAGGAGTAGAATGAAAAGACCAAATGCACCAAGAAACTTTCCTACTTGGTTCTTTCCAGGCAGCCACTTCCTTCCAGTTTGACTGTGGGACAGCCCCCAGTTGAGAAACACTGCAGAAAGGTTCTGTGACTGGGATTGCTGCCATGAAACCAAGCCCAGCCCCGAGGAGACAGGGCTGGCTCCACAACACAAACTGTCCATGAATAGGGCTTCTTGTGGGACTGCAGAATAATGCTTTATATCTGTCCTATCTGCAAGATGACATGAATCACTTTGCAAAGGAAAAAATTATTGCAGATACTAATGATATAAAAGGTTATTCTATAGGACACACAAGAAATCCTATTCATGCAAAGATTATGCAGGAGTTCAATAACTGAACAATGACAATCTGTTTGGATGGGGACTGTCAGCCAGTGCTTGACTGACTTGCAAACTGAAGTCTAGAAAAAGCTGCAGGACATGGCTCTAGTGCCCCTGAAAGCCTCAAATTCAGCCAAAATCTTCTTGAACCCTTATCTTGAGCACTAGCAACAGAAATTAGAAACCACCATAACAGACAGCATGGAGCAAACCAGCCCTTCCCACACCAGGACACGGCACAGGAGCACTGTGCAACTGCTCGTGTCCGTGGAAGATCAACCTCCAGTTGGGTTCTCTTGCAAAAGGAAACAAAGACAGAACAACAGGTTTGCCTCTTGGACAGTCCCCAGCACAATTTCAGAAGTGTCACCTCACCTCTGTCATCAGGTGTCAGGTATTACCCTCTTAAGGGATATCTCAGGGTGCCAAAAAGCAAATTTTAAGTGCATCCTCTTATTTAGAAATGCTTGATTTTTGTTTAGAGTTTACTGAACAAAGCAGATTTGGGAGCAAACTATATGGATTCCAGAAGACAGATGTGGGCAAATAACAAAGCAATGCCTTCTTTCAAATGAATTTTTATGACAAATCCACTTCTGCTGAATTAAGCAGAAATTTTACAACTAGACATTTAATAAATGATTTTGAACCCTGTCAAAGGAACTGGTTTACAGTTTGCTATCACTTGCACAATTAATTACCTTCCAAAATGAACAGGAGACTAAAAGGAGTAGCATTTCTTCCTACACTGAAGTTCAGAGAAAAAAAAATCTAACCATCTGAGTTGCTCCTCTGTTCTGTACTTCTTACATACTTACATACTTTGATGTCCTCAGTGGTAGCAGAACTTTTTTGTACATGGGACTTAGGTGGGAACTGCAGCTGTGCTAAACTTCACAACTCTCACGACCAGCAGAAATTTGCTGCACATTTCAGGTACAGTAAAACAAACCGCTCACAATTACACCTGCACAGTTTTGGGATCAGAGGGGCTGATACCACTGACACTGCTGAGGCAACCAGAGTTCAGTTCCAAGAGCTTTTAGCTCCAGTCTGTGCTTCAGAGACTGCAACAAACTGGGATGGCAACAAATCCTGCCTTGCCTCCTAACCCAGGTCAGAGGATGTGACCTGCTCAGACTGAGCACTCCTGTTTGAACCAGAGGAACTCCTTCATAGCCTCAAGTGCTTCAATATTTACTTACATGCACTCTAGAAAAGGGGTCATTACTTCCCATTTGAGTGTGTTCCACACCAGGTTCCAGCAAACAGCTATCCCACTTTCTCGTGCTAAATTAAAAGGGCTTTCAGGAAAACAAATCTCCTCACCTACAAGTACTGCCACACTATAATCAAATCACCTCTTAGCCTTTAACAGAACTGCCAGGGAGAGTCTGGAAGAGAGATGTCTCCAGAGTCTTTGCTATAAGTTATTTTCTGAGCTCTGTGTGCAATTTGCTCCTGTTCTTACAAAACACTTAGAAGGGGTGGGATTCCTCTCCCTCACCCACACAGCAGTGAAGTGTTAGGTGCTGTGTGTAGGCAATGCAGAGAGGCAGGCACCTCAAAAAAAAAAAATCAACCCACTGAACTTAAAAAATCATCTCATTTTGAGATGACCACTTACATCAGATGAATCACATCCCTTAGGATGACACAAAAACACAGGAAAAACTGTGTCTGTCTCTGACAGTGGCCAAATGCCAATGCTCAAGTAATAGTATTAGAAAGACACACGATATTTCCTAGGAGTGCTCTCCTGGCCTCCAGCTGCTT